TAACTGAAATAATTTTGGCATCTTTATACCTTTCTAAAATGAGCACTACCCAAACAGCAATTTCATTAAGCATGTTGTCAGTTGTCAAAATTCTTTTATACCAGTTGTTTATTGTACAGAAAAACTGCATCTCTGTGTAAACAGTGAATCTTTTCAATGACCAAAACAGAATACTGGAGAAATCCTTTTCTTAATTTTTAGATTCATGTTTTTCTGCATTATCTTTTCCTGCAGCCATATTTGTGTTGTGCATGTCTGTGCAAGACATAATGCAGGCTGTACAAGCACACAAAAAAGGCTGCTTACACAGGAGTTTCTTCCAGCACACTTCTAGTGACAGGCTCTATTGATTTGGATGCTCTGCAGTAAATATGGTCATTTCATATATTGAGAATCCATTTCTATATGGCATATCTTCTACAATCAGAATATTTGGGTAAAGGATGCATGCTCTTATTTTGAAATGCTCAAAGTATATGCTGTTGTCAACTCAAGATTTTATACTAAATGAAAAATATATTTTAGCCCAAAACAGGGCACAAACTCCCACTTTTTTTTTTTGCTTTTTTTTTTTTTTTTTTGGTGACACTCTACTTGTGATATTTTCTGAGTGCTTCAAGAATTACTGGGCAAAATTTGTACTCTAATTGCAACTCTGTAGTTTTTGATGGAAGCTGGTTCACTACTGCACTGCACCTGGTGTTCCTAACATGAGATTATCAGGTAAAATCTGTATTTCTGTGCACTGCAGCAGATGCATTTTAGAGCTATGATGTGTCGTTACCAATGTTGAACATAGCTGCCACTAGAACGTGCAGGACATAGGAAAACTGGTTTTATTACATAACTGTGGATTTGTGTGCAGCTGGGTCCTAACTAGGCAAAACAGATGCTGGAGGATATAAAAGGATTAAACTGTCTGGGTTACATGCCTAACATTTTGCTAAATATTTTCTGTAGCATCGTCTGGCACATGTTAATTATGTTGTATTATTACTGTTTTAGAAAACAGTAGTTATAAATAAGTAGATGTTTTTTTCCTGCTGCTTTGAACTTGGAGCAGAATGTTAATGGTATCAGCAGCATGTTAAGTTTACTATTTACCATTAAATAAAAGCCTAAACAATTAAGAGTAATGCTGTCTTTCAAAGGAGCCTTGTCAGCAGGAGGTGACATCTGAAGGTCCCTGCTGAAGTACACTCCGAGAAGCTGCAATAAATTGGCTGATGGCAGCTTTTACTGTGCACTGAAGAGTAGTTGAACTGGAAAGCCAAATGCCAAATTAAACCCGGATAAAAATAGGCAGCTGCGCAGTTCTATTTGTAAAATGAGAAATGTTCTAAAAACTTTGTGAAGCTGAATTTTCTCCAGATTAAAGCCAGTGAAGGGTACTCTTAAATCCAGTAACTTCAGTAGGTCTTCACATTGTAGTAGAAATGACTGCAATTAAAACTTGAAAATTAGGATCATTTTTACTGCAGAAAAACATAGCGGAAAACACTCTTTAAAGAAAATTAAAGACATTTAAGTAAGTCTTAGGATCTCCACCAGTCTAAAACAAAACAATTTCTCTCATGTATGAAGTATTTGAGTGCACCAGCTTCTTGGACTTACATGTCTTGTATTATCCTGTCTGTATCATGTCTGTGTTATCCATGTATCACAGTCCTGAAACCATTGAACACCTTTCAATCATTATATTCATTTTCACAACACATTGGAGAAGTATTTCTTCCTAATTTTAAGGTTATGAAGGGAAAGAATAAATAATTACCTTGGAAATATACAAGAAACCAGAAGAGGCTTCCAAATTTAACATCAGGAGTTTTTTGTTGCCTCTTAATTTGGGTGCTTTTGTAACCAACAAGTAAAATATTTGGATGAAGAGGGAAGCATACCTAAAGGAGATCATATAAGAAGCAGTCTTGGAAGTTAATTTGACTTTATTTGAACAGAATACAGTCACCTAGAAAACAAGCTAACTATTTTTAAACACTGACAGATGCAAGAGACAGCACAGGTAATTATTGGAGAAGCAGTAGTTTCATTATCCCTTAAACTACTTAGAATAACAAACCACATTACAATTTCTTAGGACAATCTATTTGTGAATATTTGCATACTTGCCCTAACAAATTCTATCATGCACTCAAGTGAGATATAAGCTAACCAGTTTTTTAAGTTTATAAACATCATATTATGCAAACAATTTTAAGTAAATACTTTTACCTAATTTGAAAAATCTGTCACCTTCCACAGCACCACATGAAGATCTTGTTTTAAAATAACATTAAATCCACAGCAATAGCTAAATATTTTAAATACTTATGTATTACACTGTAAACTCTACATAAACACTACGTACACCAAAAAAAAAAAAAAAACATACAAAGAACAGGAAGATCATTTTGATTAGCAAAGATACCTCAAATGTATCGCCAGAATCATTTTTCTGTTCTTACGACTTATCCCCAAACCACTCCCAGAAAAGGCACAGTTGGTGGTGATTTTTTTTTTTTTTTTTTTTAACACACAAAGCCAGAATCAATACAGTAGGCCAATGCAGTCAAACACTGCTCTTATTTCTAGGAAGAACAGGAAAGAAACTTGCATTAGTGTCCAGATGGCTCAGGAAGATTCTAATAATGAAAGATCTCCAGCATCTGCTTACTGCTCTAGGCTCAAATGCAGAAATGAATCCCAAATTGAATTTCAGTGAGGAGAACTTGGCTGTACATCTTGGACATGACTGCCAGCTAGAGTTACCTGCCTATTCCAAGGCAGTCCTGGGGCTCAGCTCACAATCAGCTATTGACAGCACTCAGGAGAGATGATGGTTTTTTAAATTAAATTGGTAATTACTGTTCAAAGATTATACTCAAGAAGTATTAGACAATACTTCTTCCACTTTGTGCAAACAAAACCTTTAAATAAATAGATATTTTAAAACTTATTACAAGGCTTCAATATATTTATTAAAGTCATTCCAACTGTTTATTATTACAGTATCTAAAAAGTTCTCCTTTACCAGCAAATGATGCCATGTTTGGCAAGAAAATGGTATTGGTAATTTTTTAAACCAAAATATGCATATATGAGTTATCCCCATTTTTTTAGAAAAAAATGCTTCTAAGAAAAATATTTTTACTAAGTCTATATTCTAAGATACCTGATAATACTTACACTATTACACTGAACAAACTGCCTTTTATGAACTATATACATTGATGAACACAAGCTCAGATGCACTAAGTTTCCCAGAAGACAGAAAGCATTGCTGGAATCTATCACGTATTGTTGCAAGTCATCTTTGAGAAGTGAGAAAAAACTCCATTTTGGCATTGCTGCTTTTAGAGCATATTCCAAGTACTTGTATAACCACCATCAGCAATCCAGAAATCTGCAAAAGATGCTGATATATTGCATTCATGGTATCAAAAAATAGAAAGATTCAGCACTGAATTTTTACATGAAACGGAGCCTGAGGTATTTATACAATCCTTTATAATGGAGATGAAATATTACATATTGCATGTTGTCTGCAACTATTCAGGACTTGTTACATGAAATACCATTCCTATGTTGTTATTTGGAAGACCTACTGTTGCACAAGGCCTAAATAAGTCAGTAGAACTTTCATTAGCTATAAAATTGGCATACTAACAAAGTGCTATCTAAGTTCAGTGCTAAAGATTAAAGCAATTGGGCTGCACCAAGGCTTAGAGAATGACCAAGCAGGTCCTGCAGAGAACCCACAGCCTCCCCCTTCTGTGTACAGAGGCTGCCAGAACGAGTGCAGGGTAACTACACAAGCTGCAGCACAGACATCTTGAGGCAGATTCCTTCCCTCTGTTCTCCACAGTGACTCTTGCAGCAGTGAGCTCAAAAATGGGTTCAGTCAGGAGGAAGGGTCATTTCTGGCCATGTTGACAAAGTACATTTTAGTCAGAAATGTCTGAGATGGATTAAACCAACAAAACACTGTATGGATTCACTCCGTTTCTTTAAATGGTCATATTAAATCCTGTATACATCAAATATCCTTTGGGGTAAGAAAACCAAACCAAACCAACCTACAAGAGCAATACAATCCAGGGTGGGCACAAATGAGCTGGATCACTGCTGTTATGGTTTGAAATTTAGCAAGGCCTCACTTTTAAGCACTCAGGTTTTTCACTTTGATATCTGAATGGGTGCACAGTAATTTTCAGTAGCATTTTTTTTTTTGTTCACTCCAGATTACTTTTTTTTTTTTTTCAGAAGTAGATGAGTTTTTTCCTAATCTGATAATCATACTTTTTTGCATTCAGTATAGGGGAAAGCTGGACAAAAATGACTATGATTCCTAATTGATGCACAATTAATTGGTGGTTAACTGGTTAGGTTTTTTTGACTGGTGTATCGGAGAAGGGAATCAAATTCACTGGGGAAGTATCAGCAACACTCAACTGAACATAAAACATCTTCATTTCCTTTCAGGATAAAATGTGAAGTAGTCAACATGGCCTAAAAATCATGCACTATTTTACTTACCTATTTGTACTTTGACAAGACAAAGCATTTTCACATGGCCTTTGTAAAATATCTTTCTAGTTTGTGTGAATATAACTAGTGTTGTATGATTAATTCCTTAGAAAACACATGCACTTGTGAAGGCTATGATAAACTGAACACATTTGTTACAGGGCATTTTTAAAACACTACTGCTTGCAAGACCATCAGTTTGACAGAGCCTGCTATAGAACAAAATAGGCCAAAACTAAAACTTGGCATGCCAGCACACTTTAATTCTGTATTTGTGAAATGACTTTTCAAACTTAGGAGCTCTTTTCACTACCTTTAAAGGAAAACCCACACATACACACAAAATTCTAGCAATTCTAACACCATATTTGTTCTTTACCAACTAGCATATACCTTGTTTTAATGGTTTAAAGCAATTAAATTCCTCAAGATTGTGCATATCCAGGCATTACTGAGGAAATAAAGACACCCATCACTATTCTTCTTAAATTTTATTCCATAATAAAAAATAGAAGATGAAAGAAAGAGTGTTCAAGAATTAAAGCAATTATTGGTCAATGTAAGGAGCAGTAAACTAATTATCTAAATCATGACTAAGGACCTGGTTCATCAAAGGTACTTCTGGGTCCTCCATGGCATAGCTGTAGGCTTCTACAGCACAAAAATCCAGATTATCTTTTGCTGAAGCAGGTCCTTTATTATCTAGAGAACACTTGATTTCATATTCTATTTATCCTTCTCTTTTTGTTCTTTCTCCTTCTTTTCACGTTCAGCTTTTGCTTCCTCCTCCTCATGTTGTTTTATCAATTGTTCCACCTCCTTTTGCTTCAGAACCCTTATTACTGTCTTTCCGTTCTCTCTTGTCAGTGTTGCAATTTCAACTGAAACACATGGAACAGACAGCAGCGTTTAGGCAGAGCAATCATCAGCAGGGCAAGGTTTGAGATGACAAGTGACAGTGAGGCAGAAGGCTCCAAAGCTCCCTGTGCCACGCAGCCTGGCTGGAGGCAGCCACCCCCAGCTCCCTCCTGCAGCAGGGCACAGCAGCAGGGGAGCTCCTCACAGGGCTCTGCTCCCAGACACACAGACATTCCATCCCCAAACTGCAGCCTCACCTCTGGAGCTGGCTAACAGGGCCATTGGCCCGAGCTATCTGAATGCCTCTTAGGCTAAGGCTGAGAACTGCTGCATCTTCTGAAAACATTTTTTTGTGACAACTAACACTCCAGTGAGCCACATCTGGAATATGTGCACTCACTGCTCCCTTTGTTTAAGCAGAGGGTGCTGTCCTGTGTAGAGAATGCTCACCTTTCTCAGCAGAGAGCTTGCTGACATCCATGGTCTTGTTTAGAACCTTAATGGCCAACGCCAGGGCAGTCTTTAAGGTCATTTCCCCTTCTTTGTAGTCTTGCTTCAGCATTGACACAGCTGCCTGTAAATTTCACAGAATTTAAAGCTGTGTCTGTGGGCAATCAACCACACAGCCAGGGTGTGGGGTTTTGCCAGGTGATACCAACACAGGAGTTAACAGCAGCATTCCTACAATTACCTGTAAATCTCTCCCACACTAATAATCACTCAGCTTAATTCATACAGTACAATTGACACTTTTTAACTTGTCTTTTTGAGAAGAAAAAACCCAGAACTTACAGCACTATTATTTCCAATGCATGTGGCTTTCCACCCTCCATAATTTCCACTAGGATCACTTTGGTACAGCTGAAATCCATAATGCTTATCCCAGCCAATATAGAGCAATGAAACACCAAAAGGACGTTTTCCTGTTGAAAAGAAGGCTATTAGCAACCTAAATTTAGTAACAAGATTGGTCATGAGTTACAATTATTTTCTTTTGATTTTGTTTTTCAATCTATTCCTGTGAACTAGGATTTAACACAGTTCTGCACTTCTGTTGCTTGAGATAAGCATGCCAGCATTTCCTTCAAAGACATGGGGTGGGAGGCAGCAGAGGTTTATTCCATTTAACCTTAAGAGCAGTTCATTTGTGTCTCCACAAATTGTAATTTACTATCTCAGAACTTTAAATCAAAATTTAGTATTTCAAGTATGTAGCTTAGCTGTTAAAGCATTTAACTTAGCAATGTCAAAAGCCAGGTAGTTTAAAAGGTACTTCTCTCCCACTACATAGATGTAAAACAACACAATCATCAGTTCAGGAACTGAGGAACACTATTTACAATATAATTTTCTAACATATAGCTTGAGCCACATAAACAGTACTTTTTTCAAGTGTTAGAATATTGATACCCCTACATACAGCCTTGTTTTTGATTCATTGTGCCATTATGCTGGATGGGCCCAAAATGTTGAAAGGTTGTCTAAACAATTGTCTGCTGGTCTTTTGATGGCATTCATTAAATGCAAGAGCACTCAAAGCATTCTATGCAATAAGCCATCATCTCAGCCATCAATTACCCAAACCATAAAAAGTAGAAGCATCAGCAGCACAAAACAGTTACCATGACTACCCATTCCCCTCTTAAATTAGGCTATTTTTCCCTAAGTATAACTTTTAAAGAGAATTCAGTAGAACTGTCCACAGACTTAGATCCTTCACATTATGCAAGAATTGTTCTTGAGACATTTATTAACACAATGATTCATCACACTCCATTACCTCCAAACTGTGTATAAGCCTGCTTGATATCACACAGTGCTGTTACTAGTTGTTCACAAGGAATAGGCTCTTGATACTGTAACAAATACCTAATATCAAAGAGGAAAAAAAAAACAGTTTTCAAAACTTGTTTTCCTGACCATATCCTGCACAATATTTAAGAGGAAACAAGTTCCCAAGTTAGAGTATCTGTGTGTTCTACTTCAACCTACTTCTGATTTACCAAATGCATGTTCATTCTGATCTAGTGCATAAAGAGAGCTGAATATGACAGCACAGGTGAGTAAAACCACGCTAGCTGTCAGCAGACCTACCTCTGTGCAATCAGTCTCAGCTCATTTGTTAGAACATTGGCATCTGAAGTTATTCCTGCAACGCTGCATGCCATATCCCTGCAAGAAAAGCATACAAATTAACTGAATTCCTGTTAATCTCCAACCAACACTCACATCTTCATACAGAGGTTCAGGCAGAGCACCTGCTTTCTCATCAAAGCTACACAGCTGCCACACAAAATGGGTTCATCAGCTCTTGCCGTTAAGGTGCATCAAAAATATCAGTTACCATTTGCTAAGAGCAGAGGTGGACAGCCAAAGTCAGCAAGTCAGGATGCCAGTTATACCTACAGTTCTGGGAAGAGGGCCTGCCAAGGATGATGAAGTTCTGAGTGGTTTTGCAAGAGCTGTTAGGCACATTCATACAGGTGCCTCTCAGGAGGCCACCTGACACAGCACATCTCAGCACTGAAGGAGCCACACTGATGTGACAGGCCTTCAGTGGGAGCTGCTGGCTGACACATGGCATCTGTGTAACCAACTTCATGGTCTTGGTAGGGCCCTAAGAAAAATAAGCACTTCAATCCTTGATTGTTTTGTTGGATCTTAATTTAGTATCTCTTTAGCTCAATCTGATACGCTACAAACCTTTTGCTACACAAAAAAGATTTGTGAAATTAGGAATTCTCCAAAAGATGGAAAGGCTGTTCTAGGTGACTACTCCAGTGTGCTGTTACACTGCCTCCTTGAAAATCCAGTACTTCCTACCATTCCAGGTGCTTTCAAGATCAACATGGAATGGGAGGCAAGACAGGATGGAAAACTATTTGTGGTCATTTGCAGCTTTTGTCAAGGATGAAGCTCTACCTCCCTTGCAACAAAAAAGCATAATCTATAAAACCCTTTGCTCTGACATCACAAATTTAACATTCAGGAGCTAGAATGAAAATGATAACAGACAGATGTTTCATCTCTGCTATAACTGTGGCAAAGAAGCCTAAGGCACATTTTATCCAGTTACCTCGGACTTTTTGAGCCACAAAAGAAAAACAGAGATGTGGAAAGCTGAAATACCATGGTAATTTTGTGTGCCCTCTTTATTCTGCCCCCCAACAGTATTTTGTAAAGCTGAGATTTTCCAGTTTTTTAACTGCTACAATACCATTACCTTGTATGGCATAGTACCAACAAGCAGGCTATTCCACCTAGAAAATTCTCCTGGAGATAAAAAAAACAAACCAGCAATACTTCTACTTTAGAAGGGGAACTGCTGAAGTGAACAATGACAGAATAGTCATACTTGTCTAAAACACCAAACAAAAAATTATTAACACTTCAAATAAAATAAGACCAGGTTATGTGCTAATCAGCACTTTGCTGGTAACAACATCACAGGACATTTAATCACCATTCCAACTTACTCATTAAGTTTGTATATCTTCTCTGAGAAAAACACTTCATCGAGCAGCTTGTGAATGTTGCGCCGCTCTGCTGCCAGCAGAACTCCATCGTTTGCTAGGATTCCCAGGCAAGTGCCCGCATGGCCGATGGCCTCCATGGCATACTCAACCTGGTACAGGCGACCTGGGAAAGGATTGGAATTCCTGTCATCAAAAAACGACACTGAACAAGACCAACTGCACAAGGTGACTGAAAGTTACAAGAATCTGACAAGTGCTCGCTGTCCCATCTACTTCTCCAGTCTCTTAGCAGTCAGTTATAAATTAATTGGCTGAAAAGGAGGAAGGATTCACAGAAGGAAAATAAGGTAATACTGAACATGGCCACTGGAGAAAAAGACCCTTTCTATAAAAAAACCAAACCACCTTTCTATAGAAAAAAATAAGAATTAAAGAACTCTGTGCAGTAGAATAACCCAAGACAATTTTTCAATAAATGAATAAAATATTTTATACTGTATTTCTTGGGTTCTTCCCATCTAAGAAGTAAGAAAACGTGGTTTGTACGTACTTGTTTCAGCATGTGCAAGAATAACAAGGAGAGGCGTGACTGCACTCGCAGGATATTATCCATTCTCAGGGGACAGTGACAAAATCTAACCATGCTCAAACAAGAGATAAATGGTTATTTCAAAAACATGGCACGTGATACTACTCACTAATGGGACTCAGTCTTATTATTGCTTCAGTTAGAATGAATTTGAAAGTGTCCACTTTGGATCCTTGCTGTCCCTACAGAACTGGGTGGGCAAATATGATATCTGTAATTCATATTCAGACAGAAACATGCTACTAACAACCACCCTTTGTGCAAGTGTTTTGATAGTTTTGAGAAGACAGAACAGTTAGAGCTGACTTGAAAGTGTCGGGTAAAAAAAATACCTTCCGGAGAAAATATGGTAGTTCTGGAGTCATATCTTCGAGACTGTAAAAGGAATAGCTCAGTAAGTATCACCAGTCTCTTGTCACCAACGCCATAAAGCCCCTATATAACAGACCCAGCCATTCGGTGACCTCGGGCTGGTCACTGGTGCCCGCAGCCGGGTCCCTACAGTGGGACCGCAGCCGGGTCCCTACAGTGGGACCGCCGCCCGCCGCCCCCGCCCGGGCCGTGACTCGGCAAAGCCCCGGGGAAGGCGGGTCACTCACCATGGTGCCGGGGACGCGCCGCGGGCAGAGGGCAGCGCGCCGGCAGGAGAGCACAGGGCACGGGAACCGGCACCGGGCCTGCAAGAGAGCACAGGGCACGTGAACCGGGAGCCCCGGGAACCGGCACCGAGCGCACCCCGGCGCGGCCCCAGGGGGCGCTGCCGCCCGTGCCCCCACTGCACAGTCATCCTCAGCGCGGCAGAACGCGAGGGCCGCGCCGCCTCCCGCACCGCACAGAGACGCGTCCCGCGCCCCACCGCCCGCCCGCCGCCCGTCCTCACTCACGGCGGGCCGGAGGCAACCGCTGGGCCGGGCGGGGGGCGGCGAGGCCCAGCCGGCGGGCAAGAACCGGGCGCTGCGGCCGCGCCCGAGCCTTCACCACCGCGTCGGAAATGGCCGCCGCGCCTGCGCGGTGCCGCGTGCCGGCCTGGGGCGGAGCTGGCGCGCGCGGTTCGCAGCGTCACGTGCGCGTGCCCGAGTTCCGCCGAAAGGGGCGGGAAACGGCCCCGCCCGCCGTGCGAGGGCAGGTAACGGTCAGACCGCACCCGGAGTGAGGGGGCAGGTAATGGTCACACCGCAGCCTGGCGTGAGGGTGGGCAGGTAATGGTCACACCGCACCTCGGCGTGAGGGCAGGTAATGGTCACACCGCACCTCGGCGTGAGGGCAGGTAATGGTCACGCAGGTAATGGTCACACCGCACCTCGGCGTGAGGGCAGGTAATGGTCACACCGCAGCCCGGCGTGAGGGCAGGTAATGGTCACACCGCAGCCCGGCGCGAGGGCAGGTAATGGTCACACCGCACCCGGCGCGAGGGCAGGTAATGGTCACACCGCACCCGGCGTGAGGGCAGGTAATGGTCACACCGCAACCCGGCGTGAGGGCAGTAATGGTCACACCGCAGCCCGGCGTGAGGGCGGGAAAAGAGCCCGGCTGCTGCCATGAGGGCGCATAATGGTCACGTACCCTTCCCCCGCTGTGAGGGCGGTGATGGCCACACTCCTGCGCCCACCATGGGGGCGGTAATGGTTTTCTCTCCCGGGGAGATGAGTCGGGTCCCGCCCTGCCCGCGGACGCTACCCATCCAGCTCAGACAGTGCTGCCTTTATTGCTTTATGTGCGCCTTTATTCAGTCCGGTGTCACCCCCAGTACCTCAGCAGCCACGGACCTACGGGGCAGATGTGTGGTGCGTGTACCCCTGGGCAGTCTCAAACCACTTTTTCTCCACAGCTTCCTGGCCCAACTCGAACATTGACATTAAGTGTTTCCAGCCAGTTTTTGCCGTGATGGTGAGGTATTCCTTGTTCTCTGGGTACAGAAGAGCTGTGTGGGCAGCGATGACGAGGGACTGTGCAAACCTCCCACTCACCAGGAGAAAGAGGGCACCTCTCTCCTCAGCAGTGAGCGGCAGGATGCTCTCAAACCCTGCGAGAACATGTCCCCCTACACTCAGAGGGTCTGGGCTCTCAATCATCATGTACATGATGGCTATCGCAACCTCAAACACGTAATACCCATAACTCATGTCGCTGAAGTCCAGGATGCCAGACACTCTGTACTGGGGATTCACCAGGGAAGCAGAACTGGAATCTACTAGAATATTGTGGTCATTAAGGTCTCCATGATTGATACCTAAACACAGAAGAAATAGAAACAGTATTTAATAATTATTAAACACCTGAAACAGCTTTAGGAAGATGCATGTCAAACTAACACTCAGCTACAAAACCACACTAGTCCCCTGCAGCATCAAGTGCTGCCTGTCACACCTTTACTGCTTCCCGTGAAGCTCCACTGCACTGCCAGACCACCGACAGAGGAGAGGGAGCGTTATGGGATGGCGCTCCAGGCTGTTGTGATCTACAGTACACTGTGTGTTCACAAACGCACAACAGTAGTTTCCAACTGTAGAATTGTCACCTCATCATCAATATCAATGTAATTTGAATTCCAACATTTGGACTAAGTACTTATTTGGGCCTTTATGAAAGGTAGCACTGTACTCTGTATATATTTAGTAAGCTGATATAACAGCATGAAAACCATTAACTTAAATGAGAGGAAACTCATCAGAAAAATAAAGAACTGACCCTGACTGGACAGAACATTCCTCTTGGCTTACTCTGTGCTATGTCCATATCTAGGCTAAGGAAAAGAGATTTACTTTTTTTGTTGGTTTTTTTTTTTTCCTTCTCTACAGAGCCAAACTCCTGTATGAAATTTCTGTGTCTCAGCTCAACATAATTACAATGAGAATAAAATACTCACAGGCTCGGAAACTGCTTAGCTTGGGTATTACTTTGCCTTTGAACTGCTCAATAACTTGCTCCACCACTGCACAGTATTTGTTTCGGCCCAAGGCATAAATGTACTGATCTAGAAGAGGAACATTTGCCAGATTCCAAATGAACTGACCTCGATGCAGACTTTTTACCGATGGATGCTGGAATTTCTTTGGAAAAAGCACACAATAATATAGGCATAAAAAAGTTGCAGACTATATGATTAAATGGCTTGATTCAAAACCCCTATTAATTTCAACAGGTTTCTAATAAGACTCACCAAAAAGCACCATGAGTTGGACTGTTGTTTTAGATCATGTAAAAGAATAACCTGAAGGATGACTAAAGCAAGCATCTTAATACCTACACACAGCCTGAATGGTTTTTCCCATGTTTTGGGTACAAAGATTACTTTAAGTCATTTGTCACTTCAATAACGTGAAACTGCTGTTGACTGTCCATAGGGTGATGTTAGCGTAGCAACTCTGAGCCTCTTCCAAGGCCAGAGTCCCACTCTGGCAGAGCTCAGCCTACACAGCTAGGGCTGCAGAAAGCTGTGGGAGCACCAGAGACACAAAACCTGCCAGCATGCTGGGAGCAGGCACACTCTGTGCTCCTAAAGGTTGCACCTTTAGGGGACAAGCCTTAGGAACAGCTGGTGTGTGGAAAATCCTGAGCACAGTAGTTTATGGAGACACTGACCATGGCTTTATGCTTATGAAAATTTGCCTCAGTACATCCAGGCCTCACTACTTCAAACATAGAAGGTCCTTAACCCTTCTCTCACTAGCAAGTGGAAGGGATGGTTTGGAAAGTGACATTCAAAGAGGAAAAGCATCTCTCCCACTACGCACACCTTGCTTATCTTGGACTCCTCAAATGCTTATTAAGGTAACCTCTGGGCCAGGTTGGATCAGTGCATAGGGCAAATTAAAAAAAACAAACCAACTTCCCACAAGAGTAGCTGGCCTCATTTTAAGAAAAAAACTACAAAAACTGTTTGCAATTAAGGCTCTTAAAGATCACTAAACGAAAGTCAAAAGTAGACAGTGTATGAACAAGTAGAGAACAAGATCAAGCCTAAATCACCTTGGTGGATGATAATCCATGTGTTAAGGGAATAAAGAGCCTTTTCCATCAGAATTGCTTCTCATTAACTACTTCCTCATTAGCAGGATCAATCACAGCATATTTTGAGGCTAGCTTATTTTAACCACATTATAAGAGTGTGACCAGTGTGTCAGAAGGCAACAGTAAGTTATCTTTCACAACTGAAAATGCTCTTGTAATTTAAGAATGTGCTTAGTAAAACTGGCAATTCACATTTCATAACTGTCTGAAGCTTGTAGCCAGAACATGAGAAGGAAAGGTTAATGAAAGGTTAATAAAATAATGTGAGGTCTTTCATGCATCAAACTTAGTACTGGCTGATTGATCAGCTTTATTATCCTGTGTAAATACAGAGTAAAGAGCTTAGTTTGCATTAAGACTGAGGGGAAGTGGTGCAAATGAGAAGTGCCACAGATCTCTGTTGGCACAGCTGGCACTGTAGGGAGAGTATCAATGTGAAATGGTCACGGTGCTAATGAAGAGAAGAAAGTCAGCAAGTCAAAAGGAATTCAAAATAATAGATCAGCCAGCTGAGCACTACACAAAAATCCTTTAAAACAAGCTTGGCATTCTGTTCTTCTAATTGGAGCAGCCTAGGGTTCATTCTCCTTTATTTGCCAGGTTTGAAACGCTAACAGGCGAGCTTTGCATAAGTAAAAAGATCTCCTTATCTCCCTATTCATGGTACAAAAATGCATTGCAGAAGGATCACCAGTACCGTGTCACTTGTCGTGTACTTGGGGAAAGGCTTTAGCCAGCTTGGAGGCTGGCACCTGACATCTGCAGTCACCAACTTGCATTTTGCAGGTCTGAAAAGCAGGCACCAAGCACGTGAGCAAATGCTGAAGAGACATGGATTAAGAGAGAAGTGTGAGGCTAAAGCATGAGAACTCACCTCTGAGAGCACTTTATCCACGCTGGCAGCGAGCCTCCCGATCTCATACAGAATCTGAGCATTGGTACTGATTTTTGCTACTGGTGTACCTGGCAGGTAAGTCAGCAATCTGACCATGTACTTCTTGCTCCCAAGTCCAGCACCTGACAAGGAAGGAGAGATGCAGTCAATCACTCTGCTCTGTGCTGAGTAACAGTTAATGCAAGAGGCAAAAAAGGCGTATCCCAGTGTGGAAGTTGTCAGATGTATCCCATAAAAATGCAAAGATTTGATTTACCAGAATGTTGTGTAATGTACAAACCTTAACACACTTAGAAAATCTATGCTGAGAAAAACTCAGCACCAAGCAGGGTTCCTCCAGTGCCTGCACGCACCCACATAAAGTTTTGCAGCAGAACAGGCCTCAGGAATCCCAAATGTTGTTTGGAAGTTACAGTGACAGTAAAAGCTAAATGCCAACACCATTTTTGTCCCAAGCACTCTTAAAGCAATTTATTCTGGCTTCAGGGATGGGCGAGAACTGTATTTTACACCACTCTGAAGGCAAATAATTTCAAGCACCACCTAGTCAATGAGGCTTTTTTAACTTTTCCTGTGCATGGACACACGTCAGATAAATGTTTTCTCCAATTCCTTAAGCTGAAGTGTTTTCCTAAGTGTTTTCCCAGTTAATTATTACTCTCTCTGAGTTGCTTTGCTTCTGGTATTTTAACTTTGGACTATTATGGCTGGAATACAGGTCACCTGATGCATACCCCTACTATTCAAACACAGGCCTAGAGTTTCCCTATGGCATACGCAGGGTATGCCATACAGCAAGCTACTGCCGAGCTAAGGGTGAGAGTGGGGCAGTAAAGGTGCCCACAGTGGCTCACCTCCTGACTCCAGAGACATTATGTTACCATCTTTTGTCAGATAAGGAGTAGGTGAAGGGAAACCTTCGGCACTGAGAAACATCATGGCCTGGGTCTGCGCTTCAATGAGGTCAGGCTCCTGGCTGTCTTCTGAATTGGTGATTTTGAGGACATACTCATCAGCACCTTCAGCTGAGACACGCACGTGGAAGTTCTGATCATCATAGCTGGGGAGAGACCTGATCCAAGATACCTTCAATCCAAACACCCTGTCAACCAATTCAGCTGCCTCTCTCTCAT